TGCTTCTATTAACTGGGTTTTATTGCTGGGTCGCTTCTGACTAACAAGTTTCTTTAGTTGGCTCCATAGATTTTCAATTGGGTTAAAGTCTGGGCTATTCCCAGGTCATTCCAGCAGTAGAATATGATTATCTTGAAACTTAAAAAAAAAATGGTATCATTAGCCATCAAACCTCAAAAATACACTTTTCCACAATTTTGGCCACTACTGTAGGGTAACAAAGAGGTAATGTATTATACAACTCTTATTTCAGTCATAAAATGCATCATTTTATGAATTACTATGTGGGCACACCCTGTTGCAATACCTCTATAATTTCTCTTTAATCTGGTAAGGAGTTTTATTTATATATTTAAATATTCATGATACCAACTAAAGTTCTACAGTTTTTCCCATCTGGTAACAAGAGATTTTATCTATCATATTGTGCCATCCTATTTCTTTACCCTGAAACTTCATAAAACTGATTTGTAATTTGAGAAGTTGTAAGAGAGTTCCATATTTGTACGGAATATCCAGACATTGGTTCACTTGTTTTAATGACACAGATTGTCCATAGTTCTGTTGCGTCTGTTATACAGAAATGCTTGATAAAAAACACATTAACAGTATCTTTCGGCACTTGATTCAATTAGGAAATGTCTCTAATTTGCACTGTTTATTCCTAGTTCAGATCTTCCATTAAACTTCTTTTGAGTAACTCAGTATAGTTTATTCTCCAAACTGAAATACATTTTGAATGCCAGATTAAATGGAAAATAAACTGTTTCTCATTAATACTTATTATGAAGCGTGTGTTGGCTTTTCTCTTTTCCTTTTTTGAAAGACCCCTGTAATCTTTATTCTTCAGAGAGCTGAATTCATTCACAATTGTTATCCAGTACGAATGTCACTGTAAAATGGCATGGCTTAAAACTAACCACATATAATTCGACCCCATTGTGAGTTCATTATTTAGGCAAAAACTCTCTTCTCATTGTGTTGTCTTTCTTGGTTAATAAGAATAGTAAAAAGAGGACAGCCTTAGGAATGAGGAGCTACAGAATACAGATGGTAGAATAGATGCAGAAGTTCAGTTCTTGAAATTGCATACAACAATACGATTAGAACATAGAACACTAGTGAATTGTTAACAGTAAGTATATAAACTAGGCTCCCTATGAGACAAACCTGTGGGTGTAACATTACCAATTATATCACAAATATATCACAACATTTCAAAAATTTCCTATTTCGAATTGGCAGTGAACATAGAGATATAATGGTCATATTTTTTTAAAATGGTGTTGTTTGATTCCTAGGAAAAATATATTTATTTTTGCTTTGCTATCATAAATGCAATATAGAAGAGAGACCTTTTGAGTGTTCATGGAAGAACTCCTAAAAGTATTATTGCTTTGAGGTTTAGAATTTAATAAACTATAGGGAATAATTTTGGGGACATAGTGCCTCAGCAGTTAAAGCTGCTGAGCTAGTCATTTAAAAAGCTGACAGCCTGGGTTCAAGATTCGACCTCCTTACAACAGGGTGAGCTCCAGATACTTGCCCGAGCTCTTGCCCACCCAAAAGCATGCAAATGCGAGTAGATAAATAGGTACCACTTCAGTACGAAGGTAACAGCGTTCTGTGCATCTCAGTGTACAGTCATGGTGGCCACATGACCATGGAAATATCTTTGGACATTGCTGACTCCCTTGGGTAAGAAATAGAGATGATTGCGTCCCCTTAGGATTGGAAACAATGGATAGGGAAAACCTTTACTTATAGGAAATAAAAGAAAGTAATAGGTAAGGACAAAAATATAAAATTCAGCTTGGCCTAAATGTGTTTTGAGGTATTTCTGGCAAGTGAGCAGGGCAAGCAAGGAATATAAAACCAAAAAATAATACTGAAAATCACTGTGTGAGGTCTTGCTTGGGAAATGTTCTCACAAGAGAAATATAGTTGGTACCTATGTATCAGCCTTTGACAAAAGTTCAAGATAATTCTCTCACACTGATTAATGACATTTATCTTCAACAAATACTGTATTTTTTTCCTAAACTTTAAAGCACATACATTTTCTATTAATATATATATATATGTTATTATATTTACCTTTTTTTAAAAAATAATTACTTTGCAGCTGCATCAGACAGCTACAATTACTGGACAAGTAGTAATGGACAAACAGATTAGAACTTCACTTCTTCCATGTTGTTTTCAGAGCATTAATATGAAAAAAGTGTTTGATTGCCTTTTTGAAGCATGTGCTTTCTACTTCTCTCCCTAGTTTATATCCCCAGCTTTCCTGTTTTGATCTCCCATCTAGGTGTTAACCCAAAATCCAAACAACCTAAATTGGCATTTTGAAGTCTGCCAAGATTGGCCAGCTGTGATAAAATAGAAATATAATAAATGTTCATAAGTCATAAATATAAACAGACAAGGCATGGCATGATCAATCATAATCTGAATATATGAAAGTACTATTGCAATAAGATTTGTACTTATTTAATGTTCTTTTTTTAAAAAAATGGCCAGACTAAAAAAAAAAAAGATTCTACAAAGCTTTAAATATGACCAAGGACAATTCATTAAAAAAAACAAAGACATTAAGCAGCTAAGAAAAAGAACAAAATGCCAAAAGCATAGTGGAATATAAATTTAATCTTGGATGGGGAACTAATGAAAAGAAGGAGTAGGGGTAACATGATAGCAGTGTTCCATTATCTAAGGGGCTACTACAGAGAAGTCGGGGTCAACCTATTCTCCAAAGCACCTGAAGGCAGGATAAGAAGCAATGGGTAGAAACTAATCCAAGAGACAAACAACCTAGAACTAAAGAGAAATTTCCTGACAGCCCAATCAATCAGTAGAACAACTTGCCTTCAGAAATTGTGGATGTTCCATCATTGGAGACTTTTTAAGAAGAGATTGGATAATCAATTGTCTGAAATTGTATAGGGTCTCCTGCTTGAGCAGGGGATTGGATTAGAAGATCTCCAAGGTTTCTTCCAAGTCTGTTATTCTGTTAACTCATCCAAGGTGTGTTAACCCATCACCCAAGGTGCTGCAATCCCAGAGTTCCAGGATTGCGTCAGATAGGATGTATGAGTTCTTAAATGTTTAAATGTGACAAACACTTAACTGGCATCCACCACCATTGGAGCTGCAGAGGTAGACAACCTAATGTTTTCCTGATGTTTTGCACCCCAGATTCAATATGCCCAAGCCATAGAAATTGTCTAGCACCAGAGAGGGTATCAGTTCCATCTTCCAAGGATTTTAAGATCAGAACTGTATTTGGAATAAGACCATGAGCTTGCCAGCTCTAAATTGTTAATAGTATTTTGCACTACTGTTAACTAATCAGTTCATTGCACAGAAATCCTGGGATAATTTCTGAGAATTGCAGTGATCCTTGCGAATTTGTACCCATACAGTTCAAAGATTATGCTGCTAATTTTTTGCACGTACAGTGAGAAGACTTGTTCTTTATTTGCTAAGTAATGCGTATAGTTTAACATTCAGACAAGCAAATTAGCCCCAAATACATTTGGTTCCCATTTTCTTCTGTCTTGAGCCATATCCAACTGAAGTCAGCATTTGGCTTATATTTAAGATGGATCAATTGAAAATGACTAAAACATAGATGGAACAGGCTGAGTGAAAGAGCAAGAAAAAATATTTCTTTTTATTGTTGATTAATCACTCTTGCTTCGGAGACTTGAAAACTGTATGTGTGTGTCTTGCGTTTGTACTTTTTGAGGCTGCATGTTTTTAAATTGCTTAATAAAAGCCTAGATAAATAGTGTACCTCATGGCTACCTGGATATTTGATATTGTTTTTCTTATGTATCCATTTGGCAATTTGTGTCATGCTGTCAACTGAATGCAAATACTTTATTTTCTGGGAAAAGTGCTCTTTACTAATTAATTTAGGCTGTAACATAAGTAAATAGGCGGTACCTTACGAACAAATAATTCATTTTGTTTTCTGAGGAAGAATGTTTATGGAAGCAGAATATCCGCATAGAAGAAGGTAAATAGCAGCTTTGGGAAGATGAAAACCGTCTAAATTCACAAAAACACAACAGAATTCGTTTTAAAGAAATCATAGGATGTCAGGTGTTTTTGGAAGCACAGAATACAGAGCAGGAAAGCATATCATAGAAAAGCATATCTTCAGCAAAGCATGGAAAGACTGACCAAAAATTGAATCATATGATGCCACACTGCAGTTCTGTGGCAGATTTTACTTGTGTATAATATTTTTGAATGTACAAAATAAACCACAGGGTTTCCCAATAGTTCATTTGTGTTGTGAGCACATTTGGCATGCTAAAAGAAAATTGTAAAATCTTATCTCCCCTTTTCCCTGACATCCCATTCATTCCAATGTTGACGAATGACATATTTCCCACATCCATGCAGCAAAAAAACCCAGTGCCTGTCACTGCTAGTGTGATCCTTTAGAATTGTAAGATGCTCATTTGGCTTACAATACAGGTAGTCCTTGATTTACAGCTATTCGTTTAGCAACCATTCATTTCACCAGCACTGGTTAAAAAGTTGTTTACACTTAAGACCGCTTGCAGCATCCCCTCAGTCATCTGATCAAAATTCAAGCGCTTGACAATTGGCTTGTATCTATGACATTTGCATCAGACAGCTACAATTAATGGACAAGTAGTAATGGACAAGTAGATTAGAACTTCACTTCTTCCATGTTGTTTTCAGAGCATTAATATGAAAAAAGTGTTTGATTGCCTTTTGGGAAATGGGATTTACCTAATGACCACATGATTCATTTAACGACCTCAGTGATTCTCTTAACAAGTGCAGCAAAAAAAAAAGGCACAACTTGCTGAAAAACATTGTTCTTAGCAACAGAAATTCTGGTTTCAGTTGTGGTATTACTGAGTTACTGCCTGTAATTTTAAATGCAAGCAAAGTTCAATTGAAACTCACTGCGTATTCCTTCTAAAAGGTTTCTTTCTTTCTTCTTTTTATTTTAGCCATGAAGATTTTGAATTCATTTCAGGAACTCGCATGCGCAAACTGGCTCGAGAAGGTCAAAATCCTCCGGAAGGTTTCATGGCTCCTAAAGCGTGGACTGTCCTGACAGAGTATTACCAATCCTTGGAAAAAGTTTAAACTGCTCTTGTTCATTGAGATCAACCTTTGACACTTGATTTATTGACAAGACAGGGGACCACTCAGTGATGCTGCTTTGTTGCAGCCTCCATCAGAAAACTATTCCTAAATATCTTCCTTAAGAACCATTCTATGATTTTCTTACATGTTTTGTTACATATTGCTAACAAACTTGTTTTTTAATGTCTTCTCTTTATTTACGTTTTTATTATAGTAGGGTTTTTTTTTTTAAAAATCCTTTGTTTTAATATTCTATTTACTCCTCTTAGTTGACCTGCACTTTTCTGGGATGCTGAAACTTACTTTTTTTTTCTTTTCCCTTTATGCAATGGAATTCCAACACTGTGTTTTATAGTTTAAGGAATAACTATTATAATCTGATTACATGAACTAGAAAAAGATGTTGAATTTGATCATCATAAAATGGATTTTAATGTACTACACTTGTACTTTTCGGTCTGGACTTTGAGGTTCTTATATGGAATCTCCAAAGTAACCATGGATGGGAAATTAAACATTGTTTGATAAATGTGTGATTTTTATTTTTGCGTAGCTTTTTCTTAATCATGTATAAAAATTATGGGAAATACAACAAGGCATCCTGATTATATGGATCACTAATTTTGTTTCATGTGGTTGTAACACTATTGCTGTCTTTCAAACTTTTGTTTTAAACTTTTCTGCTCAATATAGTGCTCTTTTAAAATTATTTTGGTTGATACGATTATTCTTTAAGCTACAGTCTCATTTAGCTCAGTGTGTTGGCTGCTAATTAAACACAAAGGTTTACCCTTCTGGAGAAAAGAAAGCTTGGGTAAAAAGATATTTGTCTGTTTTAAAAATGCCTGCTTTGATCCTTTGACATTTCAATATTTGGGGGCTGCAAGTTAATTGAATTAACATAAAGCAGCCTTGTTATTGTAGAAGCTGTACATGTGAATTTTAACTTCTGGCTAGGTACTATCTATGCTTTGTTTAGATACTTTACAGTTTATGTCCTTAAAGTATCAGGGCCTTAAAACTAAAGGTGAACGTTTGTATAAGAGCATATTCTACAGCAAAGCATGCAAGAAGGTTCCAGGCTCAATTCTTGATTTTTCCAGTTAGAGGGACTGAAAACGTTTGTTTCCAACCCTGGAAAGAGGTAGCTGGAGGATTGTTGGACTTGATGTCTACATACATTAAACTCGGCAAGATTAAGAAACACTGGTCTATCGAGACAACCAACACAGAGTTAGATAGATGAATCATGTGATTCTATAGAAAGGAGTTTCCAAATACTGTTAACAGTAATTTAGATTATGTAAGCTTGTTAGCCAAGAATATTGCAATTATAGGTGAAGAAAAATCAATGAGCAAACAAGCATCAAGAACTTCCCTCTGCTATTTCACACACATAAACAGAATCCTAAGGACTTTCTAAAATCCATCTACTTAAAACTATACAATAGGTACTCCATGACTTACAATTACCTTGTGGGATCAGAGCTTCCATTGTAATGTTAAGTGAATGATGGCCAATTTTATGGTCTTTTTGCCAAGGTTACATGCATCACAGGGTCATTAAGCAAATCTGGCTTCCCTTGTTGACTTTGCTTGTTGGAAACCCCCTGGGAAGGTGGTAAATGGTGATCAGGTGACCCCAACACACTGCAACCATCATAAATACATGCCAGTTGAAAAGCCCCCAAATTTTGCTTGTGGCCATTAGAATTTTGTGATAATTTTTAAGTGTGGGAGCTGGTTGTTTTTTTAGCACTGTCATAATTGGGAACAGTCATTAAAGGAATGGTTGTAAGTCGAGGACTACCGTATGGGAAAAAATGGCCATAATTCTGTTCTGACCTAGGCTTCCCAAAAGCACGAAGCCGACTCCTCATCCCAATAAAACCCCTTTTATTTCGTTTAAATTGAATTCCTCTCCAGCAAAGTCCCAGCCAACAGTTTTTCAAGAGATTTTACAACTACAGATCTTTATCAGGCTTGGAGAGCTGCCAGGCTGATATCTTCCAAAC